GCCCCCCCCCCCCCCCCCCCCCTCACCCTGGCTGCTGATCGAAATTACAATGATAAACTAGTCTTGACATAGATCAACGTAATGAACAGCGTGTCCATCTGTGAAATCAAACTTTGCCATATGTGTAAGGACGGGGTAAAATCAGGCGCTCGACAAAATAACGAAATTGAAGAAAGAGGCATTTTTCCTCCAGTTTGTAAATATTTATCAAGTTTTTGTTTTTTAGCTCATGACCTCATTTGTCCATATATATTATAGAAACACATTCCATGAGAATTTTACTGAAAAATGTTGTTGAATGGCACAAAAGATGTAAATATTCAGTTTCCAGGGACTCTTAAACTACACAAGTCACCATACTTTAGCGGCCATTTTCTCGCTAGTTTTACCCTTGAAATCGTGCTACCCGTACCTCTTTCAATGGCAAATGTCTCGACTTCTATGCAAGATAAATAGGTATTTTTTTTCATAAAAAGCAGGGCAAGTGAAACAGCTTTCAGATGGTACCAATAACTCCACATGCCCAAAAATTGACGAGCGCCTGACACAACCACATTGTGACACATATGCTAGGTTTTACACAGCAACACAACTTGTTCTGCGAAAAATACGTCATAGATGATAGATGACACAGGTGTGCATTAGAACGAATAGACACTTTTGCATAGTGTGTGCTTGGTAGAGTTCAGCGGATTTTCCAAAATGTTCAAAGCATTTCTTTAGTACAGCATCAAAGACACGAAAACCAAAATGCCTCTCATCTGAAACCAATCTACTTTTGATTGAGGAAGTCAATTACAGTATACATTACTTGCTCACATTTTCTTTCATAAAGCATTCAACAAAATTTGAGATCAGGCCCGATGACTTTGTTGAAATCTGTCGATGGATGGATATGTGGATAGATGGATATGTGGATGGATGGATGGATGGATGGATGGATGGATGGATGGATGGATAGATGGAAAGGAAAGACAGATACAGAGACAGATAGATAAGAAGGAATCTGTTACTACATACGTTGAGAACAGGTTGTGCCTGTGAATCCAGTCCCAGTACAGTCACACAAAAAGGTGTTGAACTGGTTCGAGCAGCGAGCACCGTTTTGACAAGGTGTTGTGGCACAGAAATCCCCTGTGGAGACATCAACAAAGTTTGGTTAATTTTGAGCTGATCTTGTTAGGTTTCTATTTTGTTCCTAACATGGGCCAAAGCAGAAACAGGAAGATCTCTCTTCAGGTACATGGACAAACCCAACCCCAAAGACTCTTCGAATCTCTTATGTAGAGCCGATCAGACATTGATCTTCAGAGCCCGCAAAGGACACTTACACACCAACAAGCACATAAACAGAATTAATCCCATTGTGGGAACCCCATTGCAGACACTGTGACTACCACGAGGAGACCGTTGAACATCTTCTCCTTCACTGCCCAAACCTGGCAGTTCTTCGACGCAGGCTCCCACACACACCTACAGACTTACAAAGCCTGCTCTACTCTGGCGTTGACCAGATGACAAGGACATGTGGTTACTTGAGGGAGGGATTGCGCTGCCAAGAGCAAAATGCTCGCAGCTAAAGGGATTTGAAAGCAACAACAACAACTTTGTTCCGACATGACATGTGTGGTTTTTTTCCTTCGTAAAACATGAATTGATGGATAATTTAATATAGCGTCTATGGATAAAAGGAAGAATATTATTATCTTTGAAGACAGGGAAGTTATCGTTTTTTGTTTTTGTAAAGTGTTTTACTGTGCTCGCAACTGCATAAGGTCATATGAGCGCACACGACACACCTAATATTTTCAGTTGGTAGGAAATTTTGAATTTTGCCCTGGTGGTGGCCGAAGCCTACCCTTATTGATTTTAGACCACCAAGGGATCATAAACGTGCGCAACTTGCAAACGGGCCCTCCGAGATTTTTTGCCCTTGTCCGAGAAGGCTAGGTGTAAATCTTTCCTACCAGAAGATCAGGGGTGTGGCAGAAAGACAGCTGTAAGAAGGAGTCAAGGAGTAGCAGTAGAAAGGCTGCAGAAAGAGTCAGGAGCCCAGAGGAGGGGGCAAAGGAGGTGAGGGGGTGGAAGCAGAAAGAGGAGACGAAAGCAGACGACAGAATATTGCTAGAGAGCAGGAAAGGAGGTGAAAGGAGACAATTTTAGAGAAGAAAAGGTTTTGTGACACATTCTGGAACACTGCTTGGGTCATGATCCCCACTATCTGGAGCAGCGAGGGTGCTCAAAGGGCTGTCTTGAATTGCTCCACACAACTGGCTGGCATATAGCAAAGAAAAATTTCCCTCAGGGATAACAAAGCATAATCTTATCTTATCTTATCTTATCTTATTCTATATCTACAGTGACCTTCTCATTCACCACTGCCATGTCTCTGTGGCATTCCATGTAGCTGTGGTTACGAGATTTTCACTTTTCCGTAGCACCTTTCCTGGTGGACACCGACATGATAGAGAAACCAGTTTTCCTGGTTTTCCCATATGTGACTTAGATGGATTAAAGAAGACCCAGCTAGTCATCATCATCATCATCATCACCATCATCATCATCATCATCATCATCATCATCATCATCATCATCATCATCATCATTATCCAGTGCCAGATCAGCGTCAGACATCGGTGATCATGGTTCTCCATTCATTCCTTTGCTCGGATGCTCTCAAAAAGCTATGTTTCCCTGATCTTTCCCTGTTACCCATTTGTTCAGGTTCCCTAAGTATGTTGTTCTGGGCCTACCCCTGCCTCCTTTGCCTTCAGTTTTACCAGTGAGAGCTATAGATGTTCAAGACCCTTGTGACAATTCTGGGGTCCCAAAAACTGCATTTGTCGTTTCCTGATTGTTTTCAACATTGAGCGTCCCACGTGGGCTTCATCAAGCACTAACTCCTTTGATTTTTTTTCCTTCCATGATACTCTTAGCAGTCTCCTTAGAAACCTAAGGCATCATACTGGACAAAAACAAAGAAAATGAAAACTTCAGATACACGTAGCTAGACAGACAGACAGACAGACAGACAGACAGACAGACAGACAGACAGACAGACAGACAGGCAGACAGACAGACAGACAGGTAGTTAGATAGATAGATGGATAGATGGATGAATGGATGGATGGATGGATGGATGGATGGATGGATGGATGGATGGATAGATGGATAGATGGATAGATAGATAGACAGTCTGTTATAACGTACTTAGAGAACAGGTTGTGCCTGTGAATCCAGTTCCAGTACAGTCACACACAAAGCTGTTGAACTGGTTCGTGCAGCGAGCACCGTTTTGACAAGGTGTGTTGGCACAGAAATCCCCTGTGGAGACATCAACAAAGTTTGGTTTATTTTGAGCTCATCTTGAATTAACGCTCACTGAAAACCCTCATTTTATCTTTTGCGTTCTTTCACACGGATTATTGCAACTTTCTCTTTTTAGACCTCACAGCACCTCTTCTTCTTTACAGATCCCGACTGTTAAATTAAATTTTGGAGGAGTCGATTTTTTTTCACTCCCCTAACGACGTCAGTTTATTTGTAGCTTGTTCATCAATTTTTGGACATATGGGGTTATTGGTATCATCTCAAAGCCTATTCATTTGCCTTCCTTTTGGTTTAAAAACTATCCATCTATGTTGAATAGAAGTTGAAATATTTGCAAATGAAGGAGGTCAGGGTCGCCTGGTTTCAGATATATTAGAGAGAAATTAGTCGCCAAAGTTTGGTAATTTCCATAGCTTGAGAGTCCTTAGAAGCTAAAAATTGACATTTTTTTGTGCGTTTAATCAATGTTTTTCCAATAAAATCCACACAGGAATGTGTTTTTAAATGGATATAAAAGCTGTTGAGCCAAAAAAAGAAAATTATAAAGACAGAAATAAGTCAATTTCTTTGATTTTTCTATTTTGACGAGCCCCTGATTTCACCACGATGCCTCACATTTCATGATTAATTTTATTGTCGACATTATATCTTGTAAGGAACACGAAATTAAAAAGGAATACACATGTTGATTCCTTAAACTCAAAACAGCTTTGAATAAAGAACAACATGTTTAGTTAGTTTTAGTAGAGATTTTACGGCGCTCGCAACTGTATAAGGTCCTATGAGCACCAGAAGATTAGAGGTGTTACAAGAGAGTAACAAACATAAAAAAGAAGAAGAGGAGATAAGGACTATAGATGATGGATAGGAAAGAAGGAGCAACCCACACCAGAGCACCTGCCAACAGCCCACAAGAATAACATGTTTCAGAATCTGTTATAACGTACTTTGAGAACAGGTTGTGCCTGTGAATCCAGTCCCAGTACAGTCACACAAAAAGCTGTTGAACTGGTTCGTGCAGCGAGCACCGTTTTGACAAGGTGTGTTGGCACAGAAATCAGCTGTGGAGACATCAACAAAGTTTGGTTTATTTTGAGCTCATTTTGAATCAACGCTCACTGAAAACCCTCATTTCATCTTTTGAGTTCTTTCGCATGGATTATTGCAACTTTCTCTTTTTAGACCTCACAGCACCTCTTCTTCTTTACAGATCCCGACTGTTAAATTAAATTTTGGAGGAGTCGATTTTTTTCACACGGCTAACGACATCAGCTCATTTGTAGTCGACTGCAGTATAATTTGCGTAGCGACGTGGTGGAATCAAGCGCTCATCAATTTTTGGGGATATGCCATGGGGTTATTGGTATCATCTCAAAGC